GTCCTCCTTCTGGGCCTGGCTCCAGAAGGGGACCCCGGGCTTCCTCCGGGCCGGGCATCCTCACTTCTTGTTTTTTCTTTAATGAGGTCTTTTGAACCAATCTTAGTCTGGCCCCTTGCCTGAGACCAATTTGCCATGGGAGAGCCTACCAGGAACACAAGGTTCCAGACAACACAGCCCCCAGGTTCATCAGGGCACACAAACCTCTCTACCACGGTAAGGTGCTGGTGTCACAAAGTGAATAAAGTCAGTATGTTAGACAGATGGTTAAACCTTTTATATAACTGTTGCATGTTACATATAGTGTTGTGATTTTAATGTTGTGCGCTATATAGCGATGAACTCTTTTTATTTGCATCTTGTTTAACCTCCTCAACGAACTGTCACAACAAAGACACAGACACTGCTGATTGACACACCGGCACCCAGTGAAAATCAGCAATCTCATTCGCCAGTTGCCAAATCCACTCCCCCATAAATACGCCGACTACCTGCTAGATGGCAGCTATTCTTCTCTTGACAGTTGCTGCCTCACCTCGCCGCAGATCGGACCGGATCGGATCCCTCCTGCTCCTCCTCACCTCGCAGCAAATTGGACCGGATCGGATCCCTCCTGCTCCTCCTCACCTCGCCGCAGATCAGACCGGATCCTTCCTGCTCCTCGCAAAGAACGGTCCCCTGAAGTTCCTCTTCCTGTCGGCTGGACCAGACCCTCCTCTAACCATCGGATTTGACGCTCAAACAAACTCCAGATTAAGGGAAGTGTTTATTTCTCCTGCCTTTGGGTTTGTGGGTTTACGTCACGAAAGTTACATTGTTGTCCCCTGAATCTCCTTTTTGTTGCCTCCTGAGGCTCCGCGACCAGAGGCTGATGGACAGAGTGCGGCGGGCTGGCAACGTGGAAATCCTGGCACTGAATTTCCTGGAAGGGACTTGAACCCTCCACTTCCGCCTGGCAAAAAGGGGAAGTGGAGTTCGGTTCCAAGCGGACAGGATTTTATAAACCCCTGCTCGAACTGTAATTCTTAAGTAACTGGTTTATATTTATTGAACATTATTTTAACCTTACGCTATTTTAAGTATTTATCAAAGGAGTGTTTTTAAAGTAACTTTGTATAAATAAACCATTTTACACATATTGTGCTGTCTTTCTCACTGTATTGGTATGGCCGGGAATCCAAATCTTTTAATATAAATGTGATGTTAACAGGCCTCACTAGGCTGTTACACTGGTTCTTCAGAGACTCCCGCAGGACTCTAATGTCTTTGTCAGTCTTTGTCTGTCTGACGCTCCAGGAAAGTGCTACCTAAAATGGACACCTGATTGCTGAGTTCTCACAGCTGTGGGGCCACGCCCCTTTAATTAGTTAACTCTCTGCAGCTGGTGGCCCTCAAAAGGAAATCTAGACTGGCTCCCTCCTGAGTTGTTATTGTGTTTTCAGTGGCACAATGGTTTTACAATTACATTAAACCCCAAGTTATAAAGTTATGAGCTTAACCCTTAATACAGTTACACCTACTCAATAAAGCTCTTAGTATTCTACACATTTTTAAACCAAAGTTAACCCTAGCAGTCAGTTAGTTCAGTTTTAAGGTTTCAGTCAAATTACTTGTCCACACACTGAAACAGAGAAGTCTAAAAACAGAATGTTACTCACACAATTCTAGAAGTCACCAGTTGTTATCCTGTCAAAATCGAGTTGCACACTTGATTTCTCGCCATTTCAAACAGCTTTTTGATGCTCGGCGTAACCTTGGCGCACTGCCCCTCCAACATCCAATCCCAGAGCTTGAAGATTAATCACGGGGACCGTAGTCCTAAATGATAGCAGGAGATTATAGGTAGTGTAGTGTCTTCGGCCATCCTAAACTCCTAGAGGCCTACGTCTGTTTCCGGTTATTTTTATTTTGAAATTCAGTTCCTGACGGACGCCAAAAAAGCCAGAGATTATTTAATTAAACCAATAAATAAAAACAAGGATAATTGTGTGTTATTGGTGAGTAAATAACAGTGTGTTATTTGGAAAAGAATAACAAATTAGAAGGAAAAAAAGATTAAAAAAATACAGATTTCAGTATTCTGAGGCTCTGAGCCCCATTTATTTTCCTCACAGACGGCAACAAAAGGCCGAAATTATACGATTTAAAATAAAAGCAATAATTGTGGCTTGATATTGAGTAAGAACATGTTTTTATGAACCACACAGCTTCCGGTCTTCCACGACCCGACCGGAGAAAAAGACGTGCTGTAGGCACGAAACACATTACCAGTAGAAATACATTGCTTTTAAAATCGTTCTGTGTGACATAAAGAAAAGGGGATAATCGTGTTAGTGAACACGAATCAATAGATTACATTTCGTGACTATAACACGAAATGCCATGAGACATAGCATATTTTTGATGCTACATTAATGTTCTGAATGTCATGTATAGACACTTCACTTTCAAGTAATATATAATAGTTTGTTAATCCTTGAAACGCCCACAACAATTGTGGTACACTTACATAAAATAATGCAATGTTAACAATAATCCCTTCAGTCTGTCTAAAATTGGACAGTCAGTGGAGTTGCTTTCCTTTGACTGTGATTTATTTCATTTAGTTACAGCTAAAGTTACAGCTGAATTTAGCATTACAGAAGTCCAACATAGCCTCTACACTACTAAGACTTTACGGTATTGCATGGATGTTGCTTCATATTGCATTCATTTTTGCTTTAAGACGGAAATGGAGCATGAGAAGCAGTTGCAATGAAATCTATGAAAATTGTTACAAACCGATTTCTTGGGCTTGGGGGTGGACAAAGAAGAGGCAGGGATGTGGGATCTCTTCTTCAAAAACATTTTTAATGTGGCTGAATCCAAGTTCTCCACTGCAAAACATCTCCATGATGTCTAAAGGGGCATGAAAAAAAGCAATATATTGGTTGGACAGGACTAATTTCATGCCATGCGAGAAAGATAGTAAAGGATTGTTTCAATAATATCACTGGGGCTCAGAGACGGTTCACTCCCCCGGCTGTATTGTTCTGTTTCTGTGTTATTTGGTCACATACCTGAATGAGACAGGCAGCTGCAGGGATCTGTCTGTTGAAGTGTTTTTGTCTTTGCTTCTGCTGCACCTTCAGGGCGAAGCCAGAGCCTAAGATTCCCTGTGAAGAAAAGCACAGCAGAGTTCCTGCTCATTAATTCCCTTTTAACGATTCACTTACAGGGAGCAGCAGGATTCAAAAGACCAAAATAAATTCAATTTAACCAAAGATTAAGGAATAATGGGCTGTTTCACGCTGACATATTTCTCTACTATAATTTAATATGTTTAAATGGATGATGATGTGAGACATTTAGGTATTTTCTCAACTTCTTAGGATAATTTATTGTAATTTCACGACAAAATATTTTGCAAAGAAATGTTGTAATAGCCCCAAAATATCCACTATATTATATATTGGTTATAAAAAATATGATGGGTATTTTGCGTAACTAATTTCTAACACTGTCTTCCTACAAAAACTACTTTGCCATTCAAAGAAATAGCTTTTTGAGGAAAGGGTATTTTAGATGTTAGAACCGTAACTATTTAAGCTTATACAATACAGTGGGTGGTGCAAGGGGGTTACCCTCACTCAGAAATTAACAGTAAACTGAAAATATTTGTAATCAAATGCAAACTAGCAGACAGTGTTTTCTTCATTTACATATAAAAGACTAAACTAATTACACGTTTAGTTCAGTAGGGATTCATCTGATGGAGTAGCAGACACCCTGGTTCAACAATTTCTCGTTTCACTTACTGCAGGCAGAGCAAAGAAAGAAATGGCAAAAACTGAGAAACAGGATGCAATGGTCTTTCCAATCCAGGTTTGTGGCACTTTGTCTCCGTACCCAATGGTAGTCACTGTCACCTTTGAAAAACAACAACACAGGAACTCATACAGGTACTTTCATTCTATAAAAACACATATTTTCTGTAAAGAATGTTCCAACACACAACATTTTGGTTTATAGATAGTAGAAGAAAAGTATCAACACCTGTAGTTATCTGTCACATTTTGAATTAGTTTTGGAGCAGCCACAAATCTGTGAGTTTTTTTCCCCAAAATGAGAATTTGAGCCTTGACTTTAAATTAAATGTCAGGGGGATGCTATGAGGCAAATGCTAACTTCAGCATGCTAACATAGTGACAATGACAATGCTTGAATGCTGATGTGTCACAGGTAAATAATCAGATGATTACTAAAGTCAGTAGGCACCAGTGTTGGGTGTAACGCGTTACAAAAGTAACGGAGTTACAGTAATACATTACTTTTTGCTGTAACGAAGTAATGTAACGCATTACTAATGAAATTTGGGTAATATATTACCCGTTACAATGCTCAGTAACGCAGTTACAACACATTTTAACCCGAAATTAAATGGTGTTTTGTTTTTTAAGAATGTACTAACATAGCGAGACATTCCGACACCGGACAAATTGTGCGGGTAGATTAGTAAACCTGGTGTTTACCCTTCAGGCTTCGCGTCGAGATCTTCGGGGAAGTTGAACGTTATGCAACCATTCAAAAAAGAGAACGTAGCGAAAAATACTAACAACAAATTGTGTCAGGTGCGCGTGACCTGCTCCGCTGCGCGTGCATCATTTCCAAAGTGCTTCCACAGCAGTGACACACATCTGATCTGTGGATAATCATTTATACGAAAATGGTTAAAGCAACCATCACTAAATGCCAGCAACACTGCATCTACTGCAGACAGTAGCAACAGGTCAGATGCGGACATCACGTTACCCTCCGTTGTGGACACTAGCTTACTCCCGCCTGACTCGCCGGCCCCGGAGCAGCAGTCTTCGTCGCCCGAAACTACGCCGCCCCTCTGCGGCCCGCAGGTGCCAGGTATATCTAAACAACTACCCGCCTGTACAGTGGGGTAAGGCGGTCATTTGGCAGCTTGTGGTATAAAAATAGACAATGGCTAGAATATTCATGTGAAAATAGTACCATATTCTGACATGCCTGTAGAAATGTTGGGTCAAAAATAATGCATACAATAGCACAGATGCCTTCACCACGAATGGCTACAAAAATATCTCATATCCCAAGCTTATTATCAACGAGCTGATGTTGCAGCTGAAATGTTCTCCAGGTCACAAAGTCAACCTCACATGATGATGTGATACCAGTTTTCAAGCACAGTAAATATTCTCTTCCCAGCGTATATGATGGGACCAAGGTGATGATGTAGTAGGCTACATGGTTTTAATAATACTTTTGCCTTTCAATGTTTGCCATTTCAAACCATGAGCATGGTTTAAATAATATTTGCCTTGATTTACAATATGTTAACCTTCATTATAGTCCTTGACAGCGGTCTGTACTGCTGTATTAACAACGTGTCACATGTTAAGAATTTACAATCAGAATCGAGTATTCAACTAAGCCCTGTAATACAAGTTGTTAGTAGCCTTAAGGGCCTACACAGTTGTTATGCTATACCACATTGCCCTTCACTGGATGCATAATGAGCTGCACTAAACTATATTTTAGCATTTAAAATACCTAGCTATTCTTTTGCGGTTATTTTGGTGAAAGTAACTAAAAAGTAACTAAAGTAGTGTAACTCATTACATTTCAGAGACAGTAATATTGTAATGTAACTTATTACTTTCAAAAGAGAGTAATAAGTAATATGTAATATATTACATTTTGGAAGTAACTTGTCCAACACTGGTAGGCACCATGAATATATGTATTTCATGTCAAACCATTACACATTTATTTCAGCCAAGATTAAAGTGGATCCAAGTAGATTGACTGACCAACCAACATTGCCAAAGAGCCAAGTAGCTAGCAAGGCTTCAACAGCAACAAACTAAAAACAATACGAATACAGGCTTATAGAGAAAATGCTTTGTCATGTTGGTAGCCAGAATGTTTGACATGTAAATTATTTGTGAACACAAACAGTTCAGATTGGTTGTAAAATCAATCCACTGTGAGTCTTATCTGAATTGCATGAGGCCTGAGCTTTCCCTGACCCTCCAAAATGCTGACCTTTTTACCCCTCAGACTCTCACTTACACATTATTGGACTGAGAGGTTCCATGACTGCGAGTTGGAGAGAGTTGACCCAAAGCTCATACAACTCCTGGAATATAATGGGTAAATATTGCATACACAGTACACTTTCATTTATATGGAAAAGTGTTTTTGACTCTGCTCTGTGTGGCCTTTTTTAAATATCAGAGTCTCTGAAGTTTCCAAGAAGCAGAGTGGGTGGTGACTTATTGTCTGAAAATACATTTCCATCCTCTATTCTCTGCACTATTTTGTGTTTGTATTAGCAGCCCACTGGATGTGCCCAAGGGTCTTAACAAAACTCCCACTGTAGCAACAGTAGTACAGATAAAGCAGTTTGTGTTTGACCTTTCACTTCCCAAATACTGTTTGAAACAAATATGTGTTTTCTGCACAATCTTACTCTTGGCAAGATTGGGAAGAACCAACAACTGTTCTAAGAAAATAAAATATCTATGGTGGACATAGATATGATCAAGGTCAACTTAGATGCAAGAAAGATAATAGTTCTGTGGATTTAAAATATGATGATAGTCAGGCATAGTAATCTTATATAACCGTTGTTGTTTTCACACTGTTTCTTTATACAAAATAAACAAGACATAACGTGTTAATTAGTGAGCTTTAAAGAGGCTTGTAAGCAGGTTCTTTTTAACCTTTGGATAGAGCTTTGATAGCTTTTCCCCCCAGCTCCTGGTCTTTATGCTAAGCTAACCATCCCCTGGCTACTGCTTGATATTCATCTCATGACATGAGAGTGGAATCAATCTTTTCATCTCATCTGTACTTACCAAAATGTCAAACTATTCCTTTGATAAATAAAGGAATTCATCATTCTGCAATGAAGACGCTGTCAATCAAAACGTTTCATATCCGTTATATGTCAGATGTGTACAAAATCAGAGGTGAACAAAACACACACAAACAGATATTCTTACCACTCCCCACCACAGGGCATCGGCATAGTTTCCAAACTCTATGGAGCCACTGCTGTCGACTGCATCTTTCTCTGCCAGGTAGACAAAGTACGAGGAGAAGATCAGGCTCAGAAAGCCAATGTATAAGGTAGTGATCAGCTCCTGAAATACATACGCACGACATATTTCAAAATCAATAAGCCAAAGGGATCATGTCAAATAACACAATGAGATTGTATGATTATGTCAATCTATATAGTATATATATACTTTCTCGCAAACCCTTCATTATGTCCAAAATGTGTCTGTTATATCACTTAACTTCTGCCTAGGGGCTAGTGTTTGCTTTTAATCGGACATATGGGTGTGAATATTCATGTCAATGTGTTGTAAATATGATGATTGAAATATTTTTCTGACACGTCTGCAGTCCCTGTTGCCTTGATGGCAAACTAAAAGGGGATCCACACTTTAAGCACAGTGGCTACTTTTTTGGTGAAAATGTTTTCTTCCTAAAGGATTCATTGTTTGCTGTCATTATGCACTGCAGGGCTGCCCAAATAAAATGTGTTGTAGACTAGTCCATCAATCAAATTAAAACCAACAATGTGAGAATCTATTTCTCAATTCTGTGGCTCTCAGCCCCAAGCCCATTTGCTGCTACTTAACATCCTTTCAGACAGCTCTGAACATTCCCAAAACAGCTGGGCTTAATAATTGTTTGCAAAAGTTGCTCAAATGGAAATAAATACTGCAATATATTTCTTTTTAAAACTACTTTTCGTACAGATTAATATACATTCATTTTGCTATTAAGTGTCACCGTCAGGTGCATGTGGAGTTTCCTCAAAGTACATTTTGGTGAAATAAAGTAACATATTACACAGTGCACAGGTGTGGCTCAGTGATATGTTTTTAAGCATTTGAAAACATCAGAGCTTGATTGCACATTGAAATAAAGTTGCATTCGGCTTTTTGCTACCCGGTTAACACTTGTTAATAGGATCAATTCATTGTTGATTTTGGCATTTTCATGGGATTTTTTGATGTGATTTCCATGCCAAAGCCTGCATTTAACGATTGCTACACACATATAACAGTCAGGTCTGATCAATTTTAAATGTTCCATGCCTGCTGAATCTATTTGGTTCATAGTATAAAAGCTATTGAACACAATATAGTCTATCCCCACACTACCACCAAGGCTTGAATTATAGAGCTGTCTTTTGTTGTTGTTGACTGCCTTTATAATTGGACTATATTTTAAAGAGCATATGTTCCATTCCCCCAGGAGCCTTAATTGGTGAACTGGGTTTGTTTAAAATTAGCATGTAAATTAGAACATGTTTCATGCCTGGATGTACTGTGTAAATACACAACAGCAGACCAGACCGGCTCTCTGTAAAGCTGCACACGTTATGATACAATCATCCTTATTTTAGTTCTTTAAGCCCAAAATCAATTGAATGAAATTAAATTTGAAAGCAATCAGGGGACGTTTGTTTAAAATGCTTATTTTTGGGTCTTAACTACAACTTTGTGACACATGACCTTAGCTTAAAAATTATAAAAGGGATAACATTTGATAAATATGACAAAAACAAAGACTTATGATCTCAAAACGAAATGTTAAACCAAATTAACAAAACATCATGAGGTACATCCTCATTTTACAGTTGATGTAAAAGTATAACTAAAGTAACACACATCCTGCATATTATTCTGCTTCATGCAGGAACCAAAAGGGCAGCCAAGATAAAACTAAAAGTATGTTCACTCATAATCACTGGATGGGTGTTGATTGAATTCAGATGGGCACTAACTCATTTAAAATTAATTTGGAAGTCCAGACAGCTGATCTATTCCATCATATTTAAAATAATTATGAAGCAGCTTATTGCAGATTCAATAAAGAGCGGTCTGTGTTTACAGGAGGTCTAATTGGTGTTGGCTCTCATCCTGTCTGACTGTAATTTGAATAGTGCTTTGTGAAAGAGCTCTTTAAGTGAATGTTCTGTCCGTACTTACCTATAACATAATTTAAACATGTGTTTAACCAGGGAGTGGCAGAACATTCACTTTACTAAATCAGACTGAATTCCTGATCAGTCAAATTCACAAGTGTATATCAGCCCAAAACTGTCACTCCCAGAGCACCAGGGGAGTAGCAGTAGATTATACAAAAAGAACCCAGGGATTGGCTATGTTGGTATTTCTCAAAACAAAATTAATATACATTCCTACATTACCCTACCCAAGAGTCCTTATGGTTTTTTTCTTACGTTGCATTTTAGTCTGTATTTCCTCATTTGGCAGCTCATCTTTTTGAACATTTTGAACTTTTGAGTCATCAAACCTTTGACTGTGAATAGTTGAGCATGAAACATCTTTCAATAACATCACTGCTTGCAACATAAAAGTTCAGGTACAACCTATTTGAGTCACTACATGAGGTTAAATAGATGTGTTGCTGCCGCTGCGACCCGGCTGACACATAATCTGCCAGCGACAAAACGGGGAGCAACTGTGCAAATTGTGTTTACAAGCCATAAGCACTACTCAATGTGGATTTAAAGGCTGTAATCAAACAAAGAATTCATACTGATGGAAGTGACTGACACTCTGTTGACTCTCAAACTTTAGCTGTTGACATACTGTGGAAGCGATGCAGTTTCATGTGCGTGGGTAAGAGAAATATTCAGGTCTCCTGTGGATTTAATAGCCAGAACGTCACAAAGGAACACATTTCAGAAGTAGTGCACAGTAGGGTGAAAAGAGTTGTTATGGGTTTAACATATACATATTTAATTGTCAAAATAAGTAGTCCAAGGTGACAAAAATGAAAATGAACGCACCACAGTTAAAACACCTTCCAATCAGGATTTATTATAAAATGGACTATCCAAATGTTAATCACACACTTACCATCTCCCTCTGCCTCCATTTGTACATTTCTGTGATAGATGCGCCATATTCAATTTAATCTCAAACCTGCTAATCTGAAGTGGTCTCCAGCCACTTAAAAGCTCAATTTGTCCTCACCAGTGCCGACATCTTATCCTCCACTACCTTGAATGCATGGGAGGTAGAGGTGATGAATAAAGGAGAGAAACATCATATGAATTTAAATTCCGCCTTGCTAATATTATTTCGGTCATGTACGTAGCCTAAATCACAGGTTCTCTCAACCCAGTGCTCAATAAATCTCAGGGGTTCACAAGATAATTCATGGAATAGTAAAAGAAAAATGTACGTCTGCTATATATTTCAGACTTTTTCAAGTTAGCTCTGATATATTAGATGTCACCTCCTTAAGGCTTCTAGGAAGTCATTCAAATAAAGCAATATGAAAAGAACTAAATCAAGAAGAAAGAACCTCCTGCACAAATGCGTGCACACAACCAAAGCCTAAACCTGTGAAGTGCCAGACATCCTTTTGGTTTTTTTTGAGGGTCACAAGCCAAAAGTATTTTCATTGAAAACCTTTTCATGGTGGATGAAATAAAAGCAACATAAAAGTAACCATGACTTATGTCTCTTTATAAATGTATTTGATGACTTGTACCCATGTGCTGCTTTAAATCATCTAATAAAGAGTGCAGCATCTGTTTTATTGCACATGGTGATTGCCAGTGGGATGTAGTGCATTTGCAGGGAAACTAATCATATTAAAAGCTTAACAAGCAATCGTGATCTATTATTATTCATGGTGATAGATGTTTCACGGTTACGGCAACAACACAAAATGTGCAGAGTTCACCTTTTATATCCTGAATCTGAAGTTCACTTAATAGCAGCAGGTGCTACTTCCTGCAAAGTGATTTCTTATTGGAAAGGGCCCGAATGTCTCACTGCTGAGGTCAATGACTGCTGATGACCATCCTCAGCCAGGAGCAATATGTCCATAAGCACAGGCCAATACGAGCATCTCTGCAGGTGGCAGTGGATGAGCAACACCCCCGACTCTCACCTTCATCACTCTCTGTTTTTACACAGACATCTAAGACAACCTCAGTGGCCCCTGGGGATAATCACAGACACCTCTATCTCTCAGCTCAATGATTCTGAAGGGGCTACAGTCCTCTCCAGCAGAGGAGATTATGGCCGTAACCCTCTGCACAGTGGCTCTTTTCTTCTGCCTCTGCTGAATATTAATTTTCGCTGTAATCCAGAGTACAGAAAGGAACAATTGAGCGTCATAATACATGACGAGAAGAGGCTATAAATCTCCTGACGGAAAGCCTCCAGCTTACTTTTAACAACTAAAATCCTTGAATGCTTTGGACCTGGAAATGTAAAGTGATTTGTAATCTGCAATGCGTACCTGGCGATGGATAAAGACGACAGAGCCGAGCAGACGCCAGGTTCCTCCCTGCCGATCCACGTGAAGCATTCGCAGGATCTGCAGGAAGCGAATCCCTCTGAAAAAGGACACAATTGTTTAAATGCTGATCTCGTATTCAGGCCAATTGACGTATGTTTGTACACACACATTATCATGGCAAACATATGTGGATTCCCAAATGTGTATGGCTGTATGTGATCATTCCACAGCCATGGGCATAATTCTGCTCCTGTAACAGCTTTCCTCATGAAGCCTCGTGGCAGGATTTGATCTTTCATGATGTCACCATAGGCCAATTCATCCCAAGGTGTTAGATGGGTTAAGGTCAGGGTGCTGTGGAGCTCAGGCATATCCTTCCTCAGGTAACTGGAAACAACTTCTCTTTATGTGACCTGGTGTTGTGCAGTGGAGCATTGTGATGTTGAAAAGGAAAATGGCCTTTCCCAAACTGTAACAACAATGTTAGAAGGACACAACTGTCTCAAATAACCTTGTATGGTGTATTGTCAAGATATTCAACACCACTAAGGAGGTTATGCGTTCGGCGCGATTTGTCGAAAGGATTTTTGTCACAATCTTAAAGTATTTCTGCTGTTAACATTGATGTTGGAGAAATTGGAATAATACATCACCGACTGGGAAAATATGAAAGTCGAAATGTTTCCAAAAATGTTCTAAAACAACTGATGGCTCACTAGGTCCATTTCCTTTGCTCTCTGCTGTCATTTAAATACTGGAAATACTTTGAGAAATACAGTCAAATACGCCTACAGTACATGAACACAGCAATGTCTGAAGAACGATCCGAAATGGGGCCATCTGAGGAGAAGGAATATCCCGTATGGCCTTTGCGGAGGTTGCCCTCAGAGTGCTTTTCCAGTTCTTAAATTTGAACCAAGGGGCCTAACTCCAACACTGAAAAACAACCCCCGCACTAGAAGTAAAATGAAAGTGCCTACATACGTTTGGCCGTATACAATGTATCTTACCTTACAGCTGAGGTGGCAAAAACCTGGCCTTTGGAGCCCACCGACAGCACAATAATCGAGGCAGCAACTACAATCAGATCTATAAAGATAGAGAATAAGAGGCTGTAAGTACAAAAAGGCACAAGAGAGCAGACTTTCATTATTCAGAAATTCAACATATCAAAAGCAAGCATTGTCATCTGTAATGTTGTAAAAGAAAGTGGATGGGAAGTACTCTATTAAGAAGTTATCTTTGTTTTTCTTTTAAAAAAATTATTCTGTAAATTAATTGAAGTCAAAGGGGTTACCAATAATATTAATGCTAATACTTATTGCTGCTTATTTAAAAAAAATATCACCTGGAGATTCCAATTTTAAGAATAAAAAACTGAAGGTAGAAAAATAATTGCAGTGACAGTTTTAATTTCACGCTGAATTTGTCTGAGACATCTCATTTTGGGAAGAGGCTCAGGATGTAGATATTGTTTAAATACTGTGTGTGGGTAGGGAGCGATATGTGTTTTTGTGCAAGTGCATAGATATGAGTGTGTATGGGGGTTGTGTTCACACCTATAATAGATATCGGCTTCCTGGCAAAGCGTAGTCGGCCGCAGATGCCAACATATTTACTGCGGCAGCCTGCTGACCAGAGGCGGACAAAATACTCCACACCAAAGAACACCACAAGGACAATCTCCTGTTGGGGAAATTAGGGAAACAGAACAGACCTATGAGGGAGAAGGACAGGTGGAAAAACGAATGGGGTGTTGTTGCAGGCTACTGAGTGCAAAAACACCTAAACAGCTGCTCAGACATCAGAAAAGTGCTTCAAAAACAGATATTGTTTAATTGGAGATGCGACGGTTGCACAACTGTTCTCTAAACTTCCTATTTTTCTGTTAAGTGCAGCTTCTCTCATTAAAGCTGTCACAGTAATTCATTAAGGATTATTGATTCTCAATCAGCAGCTGCATCATCTGTCTCTCTTTCATTTCTGTTAATACGTTGATTTATTCTCCATTTCAGCTGCTACATGAAGCTGGATCTTGTCGATGGAAAAAGTGATTCTGTAATAAAAACTTTGGATAATTCTGTATAATTCTATTTTCTCTTTGTTATTATAATTCACATAACACTAACTGAAATTAGCCCAAACAGCAGGTGCCCAATGCTTAACATGAAGATTATTCAATCAAAGCTTCTCAATTAAAGCTGCGCCATTTCAATTCCATGTACTGTAAGGTTCTTTCAGTGCTCATTGAGGACTAATGGATTTGATCAAATCTATTACAGTACAGCACACAATTACATCAACACGTAGAAATTAATGAACTGGTGTGAAAGAGAATGCTAATACCGTCTCTAAATCATTGACTTGTATTTGGAAATGAAGCTGTCTGAAAGTGACTCAATGCTCTTTCATAGATATTTAATGGTGACTTGATGATTTTGCAGTGAATTATAGGAGGAACAGCCTGGGGGGAATCAGGCACAAGATGTGGCATGCTGTGCTGCAGGAGATGTTTCCAGCTTGGAATTATTGGATGCATTTGTATTCATGGCAGCCAGAGATTTAAATGGCAGTGAATACAAAAATGGCACGTCTTGTTAAACATAAATTGGATAAATAATATGTTAAAATGTGTTCTTGGCAGCAAATATCTACGATATTGTATTCCGTAACTTCTTCCCTGAGGATTTCTACTTCAAGGTTGAAAAACAAGTTGTCTATCCGAGGAAGCAACACATTAACAAACAGGAAGGTAGTAGGAACAGGCGTAGAGGAGAATCAAGAGAGTGGCTGTGAGCACTTCATTGTGTCCTTGGAAAGAGAAGTCTACTCCATGGTCCATTTACCTGCTGGATCCCTCTATAACACAACTTTAGCACCAGATGGTGGCTTAACATTTGAATTGTCTGCTACATTCCAATTATAAAGGACCTGTAAAAAATGAATCAGTAACCTAACTTAAGTATCACAATAAACATAATGTAACCTGATTACTTTTCAAATTTCAAATGCATTGTGAAGCCAAGGCTATTTGCTGCCTTCATCCACATTCAGCTAATAACGGCTGTACTATTGGCCCTAGCATGAAATGACTGGGTGTAGCAAAATACTTTTAATATGTCTACAGTAGGGGTCAAGGCTCATGTAATGCCTGCACATTATGTATTTTAAAACCCTGCAGTGACAGATTCAGAGTCCGATTGAACACAAAATGATGGCGAAAAGTTCAGTCAGTAAAAGCATTCTTTGAACTAGAGACCTCGATGATTACCTGGAAGATTATCTGTGGTCTCACTCGAGACTCGTTTCAGACTCATCTCATGTGGTTCTTTAATATAAAAAGTATTGGAACATTGTAATCGTGCTAGTAATCCCCACCTTTTACACATTTAACAGTAAACTGATAACTTGGTTTTTTTATGTAACTGTAAGGTTGTAATAGTTACCTATTTCTGTATCCTGAATATGTCATTCTGTTACCTGCAATCCGTTATTCTCTAAGCCTGACTACTGATAATAATTTTGTGGGGTTAAATCCAACAATTTAAACAAACACCATTTTGTGGGGTTAAATTCAATCTGGGTGGTTAACAGCTTTATGACACCTGGTTAGAAATGTGAAAATGAAAGAACAGAAACCAATACTGAATAGCATCCATCTACCTAAACCTCACCCCTCTATTCTTTCCAATAATTGGTTCTCACATCCTTCACCCATCAAATCCCCCCTCTCTACTTCCTCACCTTTTCCACGTGTTAAAGGAACCACAAGGGGGACAACATAGATCGGATGCCTCATCTGGTCATTCCCGAGTCTCATTCCATCCACAACATCTTTTGACATAAACCCATCATGGATTAACATTTCACTCTCGGTTCATCCCCTCTTGCTCGACCTTCATTTCATCCCTCTCTTCAATCTTGTCCCCCTTCATCCCACTCTCCCCAACCCTCCCGTCCATTCTCCTTTTTCAAATAAACTCATTTGAAGTCACGTATCTCTCCGCATGCCTTCCAAATTCACTATTGTAATCTATTAGTTTTGCGAAAGCCGTTCTAGGGAATAAGCGCTTTGATATTTGCATTGGATAGCTGTTGGTTATGTCCCATCAACTAAAACCATAAATAAATAAAGTGTAGCTTTACTTTTTAAAACGTACACTCATTTTTGGATCCAAACAACAAACAAGCCCTTTTGGGAACGTGGATCCTTTGGGCTAGCTGCCAAGCATCTGGCCAAACACACTACTACAAACACTTTCAGCAAACACTGCATCTCCAAGTAAAGAACAGAGTAGTTGACCTTGAGTGTGAAGGAAAAAAGAAACAACACAAAGAAGATGCTTTCGTGGTGTGGGGAGGAGAGAATGAAAGAGTGGCGGGGTCAGGGTAAATATCTTAACTAGAAAGCAAAAAGTACAAAAACAACCCCTTTGGGATTGAGGATGGAAAGAGATGAGTGTTTGAGATTTTGGTTGGTTTAGTAGCGTGGCAAATATTAATTATTCATAATCTCTGTCGAAGAGAATAATAATAAGATTAAATATCTCCAGGGTAAACTTAAGACGGAAACACATTTGCCATAAGATGCATATTTCATGATATTGAGGTATTTATTTACAAATATTCTGTTCACTTTTCCTCATGATTATAGGTCTGACTAGAGCTTGAATCTGTGAATCCAATGAACCTGTAGGATTTCAGATTATATGCCGGCTCATGAAACACCATGACCATTTTATCCCATTATCATCGGGCCAAGGTGAACTTGTCACATGTGGCATGCTCCAGGCCGCCTCAAAGAAAATCTCAGTCCTTTTTATCCTTTCGTGGGGTTTTCTTTTGTTTGAGCCTGAGTGACTCACTCATCACAAACAGTTCCTTTGCACAGCAGCTAGTTTCTCAGGGTTAAGTTGATCCCATTTACTATTGACTTTGAAAGAAGAACCTTCGCCCTCTTAGGCCAGCGGGATGCCCTGAAAATGTTTGCAGAGCGGGAAGCCGATGCAGTTACAAATAAAGTGTCCCTAAATGGTTTTTTTGTGAGGCAGCGGTTAGGAGAGTCAAACCTTTGAAATTGCTTTTCAAACAAAATAAACTGTTTGTTATTTGTTGTTTCAGCAACAGCCCCAATATCATAGTGATGCCATTGAAAATATACAAACTTTTATAGTAACAAGGTTATCCAACATGTGTTTTATTTCAAAAAGCGTTGTCGATGTCTTTTAGCTGCATTTTTTTACAAGCATCCTCTTTTTTTTGACTTCGCTGTTTGACATGGAACAGGAACAAAACTATCAGAAGATGATAGTCAGGTCTGTTTGCAGACGCCAGCCAACAGACAGAGACAGAAGTGCAGAGCAGATGGTGAAAGACCAGATCAGGAGACAAGGCTGCAGGCTTCATCTACAGTGTAAACAATGCAACATGTAGATAAGATGGAGATTAGATTCTTTCACATCTCAATCACTCTGCTTGTATCTGTCGTTCATGGACCAGTGATCAGGATCATTAAAGATACAGCACACTAAAACATTTCCTGCACACACAGCAATTGTATACATTCGTGTATTGCCTTAAAACATTCTCGCAAATCCTTGAGGCAATCTTTGGATGTATGCTACCCCGTAAAATATCCATAAAGCGGATGATTTTTTATTTATTTATCATGATACCTGGGGCCCATATATTGGTGCACTGCTACCTTCTGTAGCATCGCTACAGAAACAGGGTGTGAAACTTGACAGTTAAACCTTCTGTCATGACCTTCATTGGTTAAATGAGAAGTTTGTTATGCACCAAAATGTCGATTTAAAGAGGACCTATCATGCAAAATGCACTTTTTGATGTCTTTCATAGATAAATATGTGCCCCCGGTAGGGTTGCAAAATTCCGGGAATTTTCAAAGATGGAAACGGGAATTAACGAAAAAAACGGGAATAAACAGGAATTTATGGGAATAAAGTGGGAATTTTCAAAATTGAAGGTTGGCTCTTCATAGGGAACTTAAATATAGTTGGGGAAAGTATTTTATCATAATCTTGACTAAAACAAACCAATGCCATTCAAGTACACTTGAATATCCGTGCCATAGCACACTGCTTACTGCATGGCTATTAAGACCACACCCCTACAGGCACTGTGCATTCCTCCATCACATGCACAGATGAGTAATGTTTAACTCAACATTCCTTGTTTTCGTTCTTCAATTAAATAAATAATTGTTCAATAAAATAATTAAAACTTT